TATATATATATATATATATATGCATATATAAAATACCATTTTAAAGAGTTATTTATCCTAGATAACAATAATGTTAATGTTACTTTTCTTTATGCTGGCGCCAAAATATTATTTAAGAAATTAGCTTGCTACCTGGGACATATTACATGAATAAAGATTATGTGTTCCGCGGGTTTCTTCTGTCCATATCCATTCTTGGAATGCCAACGTTTCGTGAACCTTGCAGTCCTCATCAGAGCGAGGAGCAGCCTGATACTAAGCTGTTTCTCCAGGTCGTTCCTTTTTATATTACGCTACTTGTTGGAATGGTAGGGAGGAAGAAGAGAATTATGGGTGAGGAGAGGAAGAAAGGCAGGGGAAATCAGTCAATCTTCAATAACCGGGAGAATGATTTTTTATATTTTATTTATATTGTAGCCACTATCTTTATTTAGATTGTTATTTTTGTATCTCTATGGCTTCTCTATACTTTCTTGAAAAGTATGATGTAATGTTGGCTATTATGGTTTTGTCAAACAGTATTTGATGTTCTGTTTCGCTGTTGTGTTCTGAATGGTGATTGCGAGACATGTTTTAGACACATTCTTTCATCCGTAGGTTGACCATTCTTCCAGTTTCTTCAATGTATACTTGTCCGCAGAAACAAGATATTTTGTATACTCCTGCGGAGTTGAATGAAGGTCTTTGATTTTTAGGATTTCTTAAGATTTGTCCTATCTTTTTGGATGGTTCAAAGATAGTTCGGATATTGTGTTTGTTTAATATCCTGCTAATCCGATCTGTTGCTTCTTTGATATATGGGAGAATGAATAGGTTCTTTTCGTCTGATTATATGTCAGAGACTGTTGTCTTGTTTGCATGTTTATTGATTATGTCTTTTTTGTCGTATCCGTTTTTTTGTTGTGTCCGTTTTTCTGTAAGGCTAATTAAGTAATTGAATTCTGTCTATAGATGTTCTTTGTCAGAGAAAGCTCTATGTACAAGTAAATTGATTGCACTGTTTTTGTGCTGGGTGGTGCGACTAGGCATGTAGGTATCTTATCTGTATGTGTTGGTTTTCTGTACACTTGATGGCTTAAGGTACCGTCAGCTTTCTTAGAAACAAAAATATTTAGGAAAGGGAGATTTCCGTTTTTCTTTATGTCTATGTGAAGTGGATATTTGGATATTGATTGTTAAGGAAAATAAAGAATTTACAGAGTTTCGGTTCTGCCGTGTCTCCATATCACGAATATGTCTGCACAACGGAATCAAACTTCTGGTTTTTTGAATGTTTTTTCTGAGAGTCTCTTTCTCAAAATACTCCATGAAGATGTTAGCGATTACAAGAGAAATAGAAGAACCCATTGCCGCTCCTGAAGTTTGTTCATAAAATTGGTTGTTATAGGAAAAGTAAGTGGTTGTTAAGCAGTGCTCTTAGCGGAATGAAGTCGGAGGGAACTTCATGTGAGGCCTTTATTATGTTTAATGTGTCCTTTATTAGGATTTGTGTGAAAAGGAATTCTACATCGAAATATACAAGCAGGTCTGTGGAACATATTCGGATTTTTTGGATCTTTTGTATGAAGTTCATTGAATTATAATAGTTATGTGTGATTCGGATTTTTCAGTGAGAGGTTGTAGTGTTTGTGCTAAGAAGCGGGATAAGTTGTATGTCGGGGAGTGTATGGCGCTGACAATCGGTCTGAGAGGAATGTTTGGTTTGTGTACTTTTAGTAGCCCGTATAGTTTTGTTGATTTTAATGTTGATTTGATTTTATTGGAAATATTGCTTTTTTCCACTAAGATCTTGTTCTGCACGATTGCATTAGTTGGATTTTTGTCAAGCTTTTTGTTTGAAGAATATATTACATGAATATTATTGAATATTATTTAATGTTAATACAAATAAGTTTCCGCCGTTTTTTATCAAAAATTAAGCATTTATTGTGAAAGAACGATACATAATGTTTTATTCAAAATAATAGCCATCGCTAGCCACTACTTTTTTTCATCTTTTTGATAGCATGTCGATACTGCGTCGGAAGAACGCTTCATCTTTTGAGGCTATTCAATCATCGATACAATTTTTGGTATCTTCATACGATGTGAGGTGCTGCTCAGACAGGCCATGCGTCATCGATCGGAACAAGTAGTAATTGGAAGAAGCAACTGGAGAATACGGCGGGTGGAGTAGAACTCCCCATTTGAATATTTCTAAGTAGGTTTTGACCGGCGCCGCAACATATGGTCGAACATTATCATGCAGAAGAATAATTTTCATGCCTGGAGTAATGGGCGCGTTTTTCCTTGAGTGCTCGGCTCAATCTCATCAATTGTGTTCGGCAGAGAGCCCCGGTAATGATCTTCGGTTTGAGCAACTCATAATACATGACACCAAGCTGATCCCACCAAATACACAACATGAGTTTTTTTCCATGAATATTCGGCTTGGCTGTCGATGTTGAAGCATGGCCAGGTGATCCCCATGATTTCTTCTTTCTTTGGATTATGGTAGTGGATCCAATTTTCATCACCAATGACTATGATGCAAAAAACCCTTTCGTTTATGTTTGGCAAGCAGCATTTCACATGTGAAAAATCGACGTTTTTTCGGCTTCAGTTCATATGGAACCCAATTCCCTGGCTTTTGAACCATTCTCAATGATTTTAAACGATAAAAAATTGTTTGTTGAGTCACTCCTAATTTAAGTGCAAGTTCTTTTTGCGTTTGGCACGAATCTTCATCCAATAATGCTTCCAATTCCGCGTCTTCGTACATTTTTGGCCTTCCATTCTTTGTCTTCGACATCAATTCACCGTTCTTAAACTTTTGAAACCACTCACGACAACTTCTCTCACTTAAGACAGCATGACTATATGCTTCTACAACCAATCTATGAGCCTCAGCTGCAGATTTCTTCAAATTAAAGAAGTAAATCAATTAAAGAAGTAAATCAAAAGTTTCCGCAAATGATGCTTATTTGGCTCAAAACTTGACATTTCGTACAAAAAAAATATATGATGCTGATACAAAATCGTTAATATTTCAAGGTTATGGTGTTGCTGGATGTCCAATCTTACGATATGTCGTTTTACATCAAACAATTTTAATTATTGTTTATTAGTAGCGCCGTCTTTTGCAAACGGCGGAAATTTATTTGTACTCCCAATATTATAATTTAAACATACTACAGTTATGTAATTAAGTTTATATGTATGCAATAATATAAATTCCAAATAGTGTGTGCGTGCGTGGGTGCATGCGTGTGTGTGTGTGTGTAAGATCTTAAGAAGTTTTCAAATTAATACTTATAAATACTTATAAAAATAAGTTGCAAAAAAGATATGTGATGTTAAGTTTAAAAATAGGAGGTAATGTTTGTGATCAAAGACATTTATGACAAAAGATGTTATGTTTAAAAGTAAAATAATTACGCCAAAGCTGTTTGTAATAACATATTTATGATAATGTTATGTTTAAAAGTGAAATAATATAAAGTAAGATTAAAGTAATAAATCAATATTTCTGTCAATTATGTGTAATAATTTTTATTATAATCTTCCTCTTATCCTAATTATTTTAATAGAATGCATATGTCAAAAAAAAAGATACATTTTTATATTATGTCAATAAATAATTAAAAATCTATTATTTTTTATAAAAATAACTTTTGATGTAATATTTAGTATCATAAAACTAATATTTAATTTGGATTATTGGTTAACAAATGATTAATCAGTTTCAATATAATCTACTAACTTATTTTAAATTATAATAGTAGCATATTATTCGTAAGTTTGAAAATTCATAAGTTGAAGTAATCGTAAATAGAGGAATACCTGTATTCCTATTTACATATTCCTATAAAATTATTCTTATAACCAATATATCAATTACGCGCTTATAATATATACTGTAATATTAATAAATAACATATGAAATAATATAATATATGTAGATACATATATACGGCATAATATAAATTTTATCTGAACAGTCGTTCAATGAGAGTATTTCATACGAGAAAACTTTCTTTAGGTTGATAATAAAGCTCGACCATACTCATCGGAACTTCATTATTTCAATTTTCTATTTCTTCATCATCTTCTAACTGATCATTTAAAACCAATGAAATATTATGGAAAACAGCACATGCCACCACAATTGATGTAGATGTTAATAATTTTGTCGTAAGCTTTTAATAAACAAGGGAATCTCTGTTTCTATATACCAAATGTCCTTCGGCAATTCTCCTTGTTTTTCCGTGAATCGTATTATAACTGAAACAAAAAAAATACATATAAAATAATTATATCATATTTATTAATGGCACATATACACATACGCGCGCGCGCGCGTGTGTGTGTGTCAATGATATAATTATTAAAAATTATAATAATTATAAAAGAATTTTTAATTGTAGTTATAAAATACATGTATCAAACCTTATTTCTTCATCCGTTGTAGGATTACCAATCGATGTAAATATAAAATAAAAAAGGTAATGCGCATTCAAGAACGATATCTAAAATTTCTGTCGTTGGCCCAACAACAATCTACAAAGAGAAAATGAGATGAGATATGAGATAATTTTTGTTTTGTATGTGCTCTTTTATACGAAATATTTTCTTATATAAAATTCTAATCTGAATATAAAAGAGATCTCAATTGATAAAGTATAGCTCAAAGAGTTAGCTCATCAAGAGTTCACTAAGCGCTCAGTGAACGATCGTGCTTCTGGATGCACCCTATATTTTATCAAATATTACAAAAAATGTATTGAGAATTTCGTAATTTAACACATTTCTATATTTTTATTATAATACATCTTTACGTCGATTTGTATACAAAAGCTTTAAAGTGCACTGAGTGCATCAGTTCTGCCAGTGAAAAATGCTATTAAATTATTTATACATGTGTACTTGAACATTCAAAGAAAAGTACCCTTTTTTATTTCTGGAAATCTCGTCAACATTTTGAAATCTTGTATATATCAAATGAATATGGGTGCAATCTATTGCACCATCAATACTAGGTAGGTCTATGGCTCCATTACCACATCCAAGTTCCTTAAATAGTCGTTTATTTTTAAAACGTTCTTGTGATAACGGCATTTTTGTATATCGATTAATGTAAGCTAGCTAATAAAGTGGATACTCTAAATACAATTCATAAAATTGTTGATTGTGATATTATTATTATCCCCTAAAACAAGCTGCAAAAAAAATATATTTTTTACATTATTTAATAACTTATTTTTATATTATTGACATATATATACCATATATAATTTATATATCTGAAAACTTGCTGTTGAATAAAATCGTAAATATATTAATTATTGTAGAACAAGAGATATTGTAAGCCTCAATTATTTATTTTAGCAAATTCTTCTTCTACTAAAAGTAAAATACCAAACATTATTAAATTTTTGGAGAAACGGAATCTTCTTTTAAATTCCTATTCAATGTAAAATTCAAAAGGATTTTGATAATCACGGAGATATTGCTTAGGAGCATGCATTGTCAGAACAAGAGGAGTTTTTTGTCACTTTACCGATGAAAATATAAGCTTTCAAATCATCCTTTAAAAGATTCCAAAACAAAATGGTTAGATTAAGCTTGTAGCACATATAACGATGTAAAACAGAAGAAAGTATAAAAGGTAAAAAAATGCAGACCTCTATTATCACAATAGATTAATTATACATAAAAGTACGACCGAAGCAATTATTTACAAACTATAACTCGTTTAATATTTCAAAAACTATTGCTTAAGATGTCCTCAGGCACAACTTCGCGAAGATCGTCTTATTTATCAATATATGCGTGAAATAAGGCTGTCTTAAATGAATTTATGGTTAACAAAATAGTATCTCAATCAAATGCTTAGATGTGTTCATAAATCACATTCAAACTTTTCCAAATAAGATAATCTTGAACAAGTATGCTTTGAGTACTTGTTTAAATTCCATCTTCTTTTTTTACTATGAATCTAGAGGATATCTTAAACCTATGCTTAAGGCGGTCTTAAAAATAAATTCTGAATACGACTATGAATATGGCTCTTAAATAATGTCTTAAGATGCTAATACAGTCCTCGAATTGACTTATAACATCTTAAGACTGTATTTAAAACAATCTTAAATATAAAAATCGACTATAAAACCGGCTTGTTTCGCGTTGTGAAATTGGTGAAAACAGATCAGTATTCATAGTCTTAAGATTATTTAAAACAGTTTACGCTTTAACGAGGACGAAGCGTTTAAATGCAGTCGCGCGCGATTCGCCTAGATATCTATCCATCATGCGAAACGACAAATAAACAGTGTAACACCCATCTGTATCGCGAAAAAACATTTTCCAAGAAATAGACTTCACATTGTTTTTCTTTTTCAGACGGAAGTCTATCTGTAGCAACTTCCTCGATTTCCCAGAATTTATCAACTGTTTCTCTAAATTCGTTAAACAGCAATTCGCGGGAATTAGTGAGCTTTGCAATGGTGCGCTTCCAGCGACCATCCAACCTAACTTGGTTTTTTGCAAATGCAAATTGTGACCCTCACGGAATAAATGGATTTGGCCGATGGAAAACAACATGGCACAGTCTGTTTCGATTAACAAATTGATGAAATTCCGGATCTGCAAGTTTGATATTCGAGAGTACTTTGATAATAATCGCGGAAATATCTCCCCTGGAATCATATCCGTAATAGTTGGCATCGTTAAATACGTCAATGTTTTACAAAAATCGTTAGATAATTGTACAGTAATTTGCACATCCTTTGATTGAGTGCTCGTGTCGTTAATTGCATCGATTGAGCAATTATAAGCTGTCTGACCACCCGCAAATTCAAGCATTTCACGACGGACTCAGATATGAAATTTGTGGTACACGTGTCTAGGAAACGCTCGGCACTTCATGTTGTTTTGCTTACTATCTCGGAAACTAACGCACTCGTCATTAACTTCGCGGAGTGAATTGTAATATTATCATAAAATTGTTCTAACATCGGATGGCTCGTATAGTCATTTAGGCACAGACTACTCAGCACTCGAAAGTCAGATTTTATTGCGTGTTTCTCAAAATGCAAGAGTATGTTATGGCATTTCTGGCATATTGTGCAGCTAGAAAATTCACAAAGCGTCCTGCGATGGGACCATATGCAATTATAGCAGAATTTCGCAACCTTCACTTTCTCGACATGCTTGAATATAGGCAACTGCCTGAATTTATCACAGAGATAAGGTGGACACTGTTTATTCTTACACATTATGCAGTTACACGATACCTTAGCTACAAATTTTTTATTTTGACTATTTTATTTACTTTGACTGCTTCGCATCTTTTTGGCCGGTGATTCGCCCTTGCATCTTTCCATATCTATTATCTTCGCCTTTTCGCGATGCGCAGATCGCGATTTTATATAAGAATTCGTATAATTGCTCGAGGTTGGGAAATTCGTCTCTCTCCAACATCGCCTCCTATTTGTTTAACGCGAATTTTGGCATTTTACTTTCTATGAGATGCACGATCATTTCAGATCCAAGTAATACCTAAAGTGCTCAGTGACGCGATATGCTGTTGAGCGTCGTCAGCAAGCTTCATTAAATCGTTGGTTTTTTTTCTTTCTCCTGCACGGACAAATTTACTAACCTGAGAGATGTCGCGAGATTAAAATTAAAATTCGTTTGATCTCATAGGAACGTTCTAGTAATTCTCATGCGCTTGTGTAGCTCATTTCATCAACCGAAAAGATATTTACTTTATTCGTGGCCTCACCCGTCAATGCCGATTTTAGATAATATATCTTATCTACGTCTCATAAATTTGACTGCGAACCTATCATGCTAGTAAATGCGTTTTTAAACGAAAGCCATTCTTTAAATTTCCAATTTGAATATGGACAGCGGCGCTTCCGGTAATTTTATTCGTCGTCTTTTCGTCGCGATCGATATATTATCAACGTTCGTTTCATTGATTGTTGCGTTGATACTGATGCCCGACGTGTTTGCCTCACTTAAAACATTTTCGACTCTACTTGCAAGATCGTAGTATTGCTCTTAATTACTTATAAATTCTGTTTGGTATACTCGGGTCTAACACCGCAAGTTCGTCATGATATTTCTCAAATGCGTGATATAGCTCCTTCAAACGAGCAATACGCAACTTCAAAGCGGCGTTGTCTTGCCTTTATCGAGGATATTCGTCAGACTGGTCATTTGTGCCTTTAAAGACGTGCGCATGAGAAAAGTTTATTAGTCATAATTACGATTTGTTACGAATTAAATCAAACGACTTACACTTGACTGATTATACCACTGATGATGGTCCATTCTCAATCCGAGACAAAATCTTGTTCAGATGACGCGATCTCATCCAGAAGGCCGTGTATCTCGTCAATCAGAAGCTCCGTAAATAACCCAAAGGCTGCGTGAATTATCCAGAGGCCGCGTGCACAGACCACACAAGAGGTACCAAAATGTTCTGTAAGTCAGCGTGAACCACTAAGGCTCGCACTGCCTTTGCATGTGTTTAATTGACTCACAATGAAACTCAACACTTGAGAGTATATAAAAAAACGTATTTCACTTGCAAAATTAACACAGAGATTGTGTTTGCTTGCGTGTATGCGTTTATAATTCATTCGCACGGATTGTATGTGGCTCACGCGTGTTATTTGTTGTCTAGCGTGCGACTTATTCGCTTAGGGCGAATCACCCTGAGCTGCTGTGCAGCAACGCCTGGGGATGTCTCCTGATATTACGACTACTGAGACCGTCATCTTTGGTCACTATACACACGCTTACGAATATAATTAACTATATCACACAATGACGAAAGGATTAATCGATTTTGATTATGCAACGAAAACGAGTGACTTCAACTGCTGTCGTGGATTGTTCGAACTCGATTAATCTCGATGACTTCGAAATCAAAAGACTGAAATCCGTTCGAACGTGCTTCCCGATAGGCGATCCATGAAAAATAAATACAATAATTCTGCGGCTTAGCATTAAAGGAACATGTATCGCGGCTCCTTAATATGCCGTGATAGTTTTTTGATATTGTCATATTATATGCAATTGTGTGTACTTGCCTACGTGTGTGCGTGTGTTGTCCATTTATCGTTTTTGTTTAATGCATCGTGCATAACTTTATTGAACGCACTCTCTGTAATAATATCACAGTACACACTATGTGTTAATTGCTATGTTGGCATAACCTCTTTATATCGATCGGTCATGACTTTGAAATCGATTATTTGTAAATAGGGAAATCAGACTTAATAGTAGCAATGTTCTATTGTCTTCAAAGTCCATAAATTTCAAAATAAAAATGCCCTGATTAAGAAGATTTATTCTAAAAATTAGATATTTGGCCTTCGAACAAGGAAACTTGACTTATACGTCAAAATTTTGATTAAAATGTAAAATCAGTCATGGAAAGGAAAATACATACGTCCGCCATGTTTTATAAAAATGATTTCTGGAAATTAAGGCATTAAAAAATATGTTATAATATATTTTTCGAGTAATTTAGGCTGAGAGAAAAGTCTGTTTCAAGATACTTTTTAATTCAGGTTCGAGATTAAATAGTTTTATTGATGTTCGAGAGCGCGCGACAAATGCGGATAAACAGAGTGGACGAAATATTCTGTAACACCACGAAAAAAGACACAAAGTTTACAGATTCATGCATAGTATAAATTTATTTTTTTTATTCATTTGTCAGTTTTCACTACATATAATTACATTTCAGACGGAACAAACTCAAGATGGAAAATACATGAAACTTTTCGGTTTTATCTCAGCCGTTTTCTTGGCGACGAAAAAAAGAGAGTACTAACGAAAAAAGAGAGCTGGCGAAGGCTGATTCGCCTTTTTATCAGTCGGCGAGACAAGGCATTTTCTTGCTAAATATCAATGAGGAGGCTCTAAAATTAAAAATTTAAAGTGACTCGCAGGCACCAAGAGCGATTGGCAATTCAGAGTCTCCGTCACGAAAAGGAGTCCTGTGATGATCACGGAAGAAAATCCACGAATTGGCAGCGATTGGCGGCGAGATACATTATTAGTGGCTGAGGCATTCGCATGCTCTCGCCGTTTATCGTTAGACTTGAGTAGCCGTTAGATAGCTGTATGTTTGTGTATGACATGGGCTCCCTTTTTTTTTTTTTGAAAAAGAATAAACAACGCTAACAAACATTTAGATGTCGTCGATGATTACTAGAATTTTCTAGAAGCCCACATCATAAAGAATAACGAAATACGAAGGATAACGCAAATATAAAGTTCATGCAGATTTTCTCTGCCGGCATGCAATATTGCGCGATCATCTCTCGATCAAACAATTGACCTATATGCAAAACTTATAATTAACAATTAAATATTAATTATTTAAATTATTTTCTTTCAAAAGCTCCTTGATACTTAGCGGTGAAAAATTTAATTCTGTAAGTTTTGTTCGTACTTATACGAAGGCAAGTCAATAAGTTTTAAAAAAACATAGTAAAACACATTTTTTTTGATCGATTCATTTTTATTTCTCAACATAGTCTCCTTTCAGCTCGATACACTTGATCCAACTTTTTCAAGCCGTCCGAGTAATATGATTTGTCTTCAAAATAAGCCTTTATTTCGGCGATGAATTGCTCTCTGGTGAATCTCTTTCCGAACCATTTCTTTAAGTTTGGAAACAGAAAATAGTCGCAGGGAACTAAATCTAACGAATATGCTGGATGGGGAAGCAATTCATAATAGAATTCGTTGAATTTGGCCATCGGTGTCGGGTACGTGTACATTGTCTTGATGGAAGAGCACTTTCTTCTTCGTCAAATGGGAACGTTTTTTTCTTTGAAATGTTGTTGAAACGGTCCAATAAGACTACATAGTAATTGTTATTGATTGTTTGCTTCGATGGAAGATAATCGATATAAATTATACTGCGTGCATCCCAAAAAATTATGGCCTCACCTTTCCGTTCGATTTTATGGTCTTCGCCTTCTTCAGAATTGGTTCCGGTGAAGTCCATTGTTTTTTTGATTATTCTTTCGTCTCGGTGTGAAGTAATGGATCCATATTTCGTCTACAGTAATGAATCGACGCAAAAATTCATCTGGATTACGTTGAAACATCTCCAAACATTGTTTTGAAATCGTCACACGTCGCGCTTATGGTGGGATCTAATAGAAAATCAAGTAGAGGTTGTTTCGCCGTATTTTGCTTGGGTATACTTTACTAAATTTAATTTTTCACATGTTTCTTTGCTTAACAGTGGCGCTGATTTTAACCTAACTTCATAATAACAAACTGTACTGAATACGTTTTGTTACGGATTTCAATTTCAAGTGTGCATGAGTTTAAAACTCCTAACTTGTGACTATAGGCCGTGACAATAGCTTTTACTAGTTCCAGTTTCTTTTCTAACTTCAATTCTTTATAAATTGCTTCTAGTATTACATTTACTCTCACCTGTATCTAACTTAAATTTTACTGTTTTATTACAATCTTTAATGTGTATGTTTTCATAACAATCCGTATCAACATTATTAATGGTTAATGCATATATACACATTTGCATCATCATATGAGACTCATTGGTCGCACGCATGCCCGCATAAAATGCCCGCACAATGATCCCTTTGTGGGTGCATACGTGCGAGTATTCTCGTGTAAGATGTGTAAGAACGCACGCAAATTCGTTCTCATTTAAGACTTATATCGCTCGCATGCCTGCTGGCACTATAGTTTAATATTCGAAAAAAAAATATTCATATTTAAGGCATATAAATTTACGCACGTCTCTTTTATGTCGTGCTATTATCATGCGGGCAGCATGATAATAGCACGATATGCGCATGACGTGATTGCATAATGCGACTCATTGTATTCGTACGCATGCCCTCATCATGTGGACGGAGTGATTTCATTGTGTAGGCACGATGTGACATGCACGTGTAAAAGCAATATGAGTTCGCACGAATTGTTGTCTGGATATGTTCGTCTACATCACTATTACCGTCTTTAACGTAATTTACATTTGCTGCTGACTTTTACACATTCTTGCAAAGTGATTGGTTTTTTACACTTAACACACTTCTTGTAAAATCTGGGTATTTTATTATCGATGCAGTCGATTAATTTCTCTCTTAGTATTTAGAAAAAATTTTGTTGTTTCGCTGTCTATTCAAATTTCATTCCTTTCTTTGTTAAATTTGTAAGAGGTCTTGCTATTTTAGAAAAATCTAGAAAGAATCTCCTGCAAGTCCAAGAAAAGATTGAATATCTTTTATTTTTCTTGGAAAATTGTTTACAGCGCTATTTTAGCGGAATCGGGTCGAATGCCGCCTTTCGTAATAATGTGTCCAAGATATGTCACTTCTTTCCACAAAAACTCATATTTGTCTGAATAAAGTTTCAAATTATTTTTACGCATTCGTTGCATTATTTCAATTAATCATTTATTATGCTCTTTTATTATATATAATTTGGTTCGTATGCGACTATATCGGTTTTGTATTCTACAATAATTAATATTGAGTTCATTAGATGTTGAAAAGTGGTGGGCGCATTTTTTAGTCTGAACGACATTCGATTGAATTCATAATAATCACAGAGAGTAGAGAAAGCTATTTATACTTATACATCGGGATCTTATAGTATTTCGAAGCTAAATCCAGTGTTGAAAAATATTTCGCATTACCTAATTGGTCGAGAATGTCTGTAATATTTGGTAATGGAAAAGAATCGCTTATAGTGAGATCGTTTAGATTATGAAAATCTACTACGATTTTTATTTTTTCCAGACGCGTCAATCTTTTTTTTTGGAACGATCAATAAGGGCGCGTTCCATTGACTCGTACTATACTGAATAATTTTCTCTTCGAGCATTTTCTTTATTTGTTTATTTGCTTCTTCCTCATATTTTTCTGGTAGCCTATATGATCTTACATTTACCGAAGCATTTACATTTACTATGGATATGTATATTAATATCATGTGATACTGTGGTGGTACAAAATACATTCTCTAAAAATGATAAATTCTTTAAAAATCATTCTGAAAATATCACAAAAGTCGTCGCGAATGTGTTGTAACGCTTCGCTTTCCTCCGAATTCAAATGTTCAGTTCGTAGTTGCTTGCGTAAGCGCTCCTTCCATTTATGTATTGCTGTGTCACTCACCTATCAGTCTTCTAAAGTTACGCAAGCTGAGTGATTATGTTTATAACTGTCTCCGTCGTATTGAATATGCTAATAGGGCACTTATACTCCTTTGATTCTACCAGGCAACAATCAATAAATATTCCGGATTGTTTCCTCAAAGTTAACAATTCCAATTCGGTTTTTATTTGTTGTCACTCATACGATGGTTTCGCTACAGGGTGTTAATGTTATCTTCTTACACGGATGCAGTTTCAATGTTACTTCATCAATGCGCACATGCCCTTTTTCGAGATCACACTTGGCTCGGTGCTTCCCTAATAAAAAGTCTGTTCTGAGAATTCCTTCATATTCTATCGAAAAATCATCTTTAACTATGTAAATTGTATACTTTATTTTTCGCCTTCCTAAAGATATAATTGCTCGCATTTTTCCCAGCGTACGCATTTTATGACCTATTACTTCGATAAGGGCCATGCGCTCATTTGTTATTAATATTTTACTCTTTAAATTCCCTATCTTCAGTGGCTCCTGAGTCAAGAAGAAAATTCATTTTGTTCTTTTTTGTTTCTTCTATCAGAATTGTCGAGTTTTAATCCCGTACTTGTACGTGATTTTCCTATTATCTATGAAATCTGATGCTCATGTGCTAATTGGGTCTCTTTAAATGATCCTTTTTCGTCGATACTAGTGTGCGAGATTTCGTTCTCGCTTCGTTTCTTGTGTCGCTTCGCTTTCACGATGATATTTATGAACCTTTTCATATTTGCTTTCTGCCGTGATTGGCGGATGTGTATCTTTTGCGATGGTCCGTGCAGCAATCATTTTTACTGTCTTTTTGCAGTAAGTGCACAATTTTTCAAGTGTTTGTCCCTGCGGGTTTTTCGGTTTTCGGTAAGGTATACAGTTCGTATATCTACTCGTATGATAATTCTTGCCATAATGTACTGGTTTTCCGCATTTGTGATATTGCACGATTGAATGGTTTGGTTACTAGGAAATTAATTATTTCTATTTCAGTCATTATTTATCGAATGTGAAATTGGATCTAATCTTTTAGTCACTCTTCTGCACTTACATTAATTGCTTCTTACAAATTATTATATTTTTGAGATCGCACGATTATCTTGATATCTTCGCGTAATCCTAACCTCGAAATTCAATAAAGCATGGTCTTGTGTAGTTTTTAATGTAGTACGCTTCGACAATGTCTCGTTTCTCTATTAATGACTCATACAATTCCATCGCTACTGTGTTGATGTGATGAAAGAACGTCGTCTGCGCGTTTTCCGTAGGCTTCTGTTTCAATGCGTTGAATTCGAGTTGCAAGAATGACCTCTTTTTCCAAGATGATCCATTTCTAACTCTCGTTTTAATTGTTCGAAATTTCTAATGTTCCTTGTTTGAAAGTCTAGTAATAACTTTCCCTTAAGTTTCGTATTTAAAATTTCTTCTAATAATGCGGATTTTTTAGCGAAGTTAATTTTCTTCCATCGCGTATGTACTTGCGCTAACAAATTCTTGTAATTTCTGTTGAGAATATCCATCTACCTCAGGTATTAAATTTCAAGCCTCTTTTATTCTTAAGTATCCTATGATCTATTATTTATTAATTTATCTTAAGTATCTATTACTAATTATCTTAAGTATCTATTCGACTGCCTTTTGACATCTGTGAATGTTCGTTCCATATGTTATATTTAAGGATCTCATTCTTTCTTTTTCGTTTTCATTGCCTTAACTTCTATATTACTTATGCGATCATCTTATGATTGCGACGAGCATTTGATTCAATATTCTTTCGTTTGATTTTTCTTGCTTTGACATTCTGAATCTATTGATTTCGATATCTACTTCCGCGCCAGTTACTTATGATTCATTTCTCAATCATCCTGAACATGTGTAATTGCTGATTCGCCATTTCTGTTTGTATATTGTCTCACAGCTCAACATTAAATAAGTTTCTCTCGTATGAAATTAATGAGGATGACCATCTACGTTCAGTCGGATTATTTTCGCGTTTATTCTTTGAAATAAATTGTCGTCTAAATCCGCGATCAGAAATGTTGTATTGTTATGTTTGAATGTAGCTGTACGTTAGATAAACCATTGTCCGAGTATGACCGATGTGAACTTGGCGCCCAATTTTATCAAAAATAAAAATTAATACCGTAGGACGTTTGTACTTATTTGTACCGATCATTATTTAATTTGTGCCTCAAACAGTTAAACAAAAAGTGAAAAGCCAGCGCCCAACTTTAAGATTTTTTTATTTCATTTACGTCATTAGAAAAATCGTTTGTACCTCAAAGGGTTTCCCCAAATTCGGAGATACGATTTCAAAATTTCGGAAATGCGTCAAGAGAGGAAGTCGGCCACAATGATATGTAAAATGATTAAAATAATGAAATAAAAAGATTAACAATATGCCATTATACGTAATTATTGTTAATTTTATATGTTACTAAATATTTTCAAACTGAATAATAATTGACAAAATAAAAATTGTAAGATGTTTATTTATTAAGTGTACAACTTTGCTTCCGCCGTTTTCCTATAGATGGCTTTAGCGATAAGTGGTGGTCGAAATAAATAGATCAGACGTCATACAATAAACTTGGGCATCTGTCATATACATAACCCCATAGAAACATTACTCGATTTGTGTCTGCATCATAAAGTTATTCTCGATTGAAAATGTCAGTTGACGAGCCAAATTCTCGTCATTTGCGAGAGGTTTTAATTTTTTGCTTCAATATGAAGAAATCTGCGGCTGAAGCTCATCGAATGCTCTCAAATACTTATGGTGAGGCCGCTGTTAGTGAAACAACGTGTTCTGAGTGGTTTCAACGCTTCAAGAACGGTGATTTTGACGTCAAGGTCATGTTCTGTATTTGGTGGGACCAGCTCGGCGTAGTGTATTATGAACTGTTAAAACCGACTGAAACAATCATAGGCGATCGGTATCGAACGCAATTGATGCGTTTGAGCCGAGCATTGAAAGACAAACAGCCGCAATA